CCTAAACCCTGAACCGAAACCCTGAACCCTTCAACCTTTTGGTCCCTGAGTCAAGGCTCCTCTCCTCAAGAGGATCCCTGCGTTCGTTTGAAGTATCTCTAAAGATATTCAGCCATTCTGGGGACTCGGGATTGTGGAGCTACATATCTTCCCTTACAGTCCCTATGTTTTCTTGTCATTGTTGTCTCCCAAACATTCCCAAACCCTATACCAATTCTTAAGACCCCTGTCATTTGATCCTATACTGAATCATTTATCATAAGGCTCTACAGGTCAAAACACTATCCTAATGAATCGGCTTCTGTTTAGCGGTACGACCCCACCCGCAGTACCGTTGACAACCCAACCAGAGTTTCAAGTCCCGAAACGGTACCTGCCCCCGCCCTAAACCCTAAAACGGTGAACCCTACGCAAGATGGTTGCCACGACGCTGAATGGGTAGTTGTCTAAATTAGGGTCCCTTTCTAGGCCCCCAATACAGTACGGCACCCTCATAAAATGGACGCTGAAAGGGACCCCAATTTAGAGAACTACCCAAATACCCACACCCTGCACCTTTAGGCCGGAAGCTCGAAGACTCCAAAAAGCCCCAAATCTCTAAACCTTGAGCCCTAAAGCTGCAAGCCCCCAGAGCCTGCCCCCGAAGCTCTAATATAGGGGCCTCTATCATTACCTACGCTGGTTTTTGGGGGGGTTTCTTATTGTAACTATACTATAAAGGACCCCAAGACCCTATTCTAATTCTTAAGGCCCCCTACATTAAGCCCTAAACCCTAAACCCTAAACCCTAAACCCTAAACCCTAAACCCTAAACTCCGAACCCCTCAACCGCTCCCGGGCCTTCGCCGCAGACGATCCGTGAAGCGCTGCTGCCGCAGCTTCAGCAGGAGGCCTTACCTGGAGTCAGGGTTTAGGACTTAGGGTTTAGGGTTGAGGGTTTAGGGTTTAGGGTTTAGGGTTTAGGGTTTAGGGTTGAGGGGTTTGGGGGTTTGGGGGATAAGGGTTTGAGGTCTAGGGTTTAGCACTTAAGGTTTAGGGTTTAGGGTTCTGGGGTTTAGGCCTTAGGGTTTCGGGTTTAAGATTTAGGGTTTAGGGTGTAGGGTTTAGGGTGTAGGGTTTAGGCCTTAGGGTTTTGGGGGTTTAAGGGCTTACTATTAGTATCTAGCTGCAGGATTTCAGGGCTAAAGGATTTTAGGGTTCAGGCATTGTTCAGGGTTTTGGGTGAGCGCAGTGTGCAATCGCCAATCCCTCTAAACCCCCAAACTCATCCCTCTGGCTTGCAGTTGTGAGTGCAGGGATTCTCATGCAATCACCCTAAACCCTAAATCCTAAACCTTAAACCCTAAACCCTAAACCCATGGATGGAATGGCTTTGAGGATAGTGGCGAGTGGGGCCTCGAGTGCTCAAGATGCGGCTTGCAGCCACAACATCCCCGAGGTCCCCCCTTGTTCTGGGGGCTTTCCCTATCGAAACTGAATATTAGAAAATAGGGCGCCCCCTCATTCTTCACGGCCTTTTTGGGGAGTCTAAATCTGAGCCCCGGTTCCCGGTTTCGTACTCCGAGCTAAGCTCCGGAAATGCCTGAAGCCCCTAAGCTCGAAGACTCCCGGCCGAAAGGCCGCCGCCCCCCAGGCCCCCAAAAACCCGAAGCTCCGCAACTTTCTCCCGACCTCCAAGCCCAAATGGCTCAGATTAGAGGCCGGAAGAGTTTGTGTTAGCATCCCGTTATGGTCCGTATATTAGAGTTTACCTAAACCCTAAACCCTAAACCCTAAACCCTAAACCCTAAACCCTAAACCCTAAACCCTAAACCCTAAAACCCTAAACCGGTATGAAGCCCGAAGAAGCTTCCGACTCCATAGAGCCCTCAAGCTTTAACGGAGCCCTTGAGGGATTTAGGGTTTGGGGTTTAAGGTTTAGGGTTTAGGGTTTAGGGTTTAGGGTTTAGGGTTTAGGGTTTAGGGCTCTGTACCACTCGAAGCCCTGACAGTGAGCTCCTTGAGCGGAGAGGTGCACACAGAGATGCCCGTTCCGACGGAGATGCCCTCCCCCAGCGCAGCTTACGACGAGGATGAGGAGGAAGCAGAGTCCAAGCCCTAAACGCTAAACCCTAAACCCTACACCCTACACCCTACACCCTAAACCCTAAACCCTAAACCCTCAACCCTAAACCCTACACCCTACACTCTAAACCCTAAACGGCAGCAGAGTTCAAGCGTCGCAGCCTTGATCCCAAGCTCCAAACCCTCGCGCTCACAGCCGAAGCCTTAAACTCCAAAACCCGAAGTCACAAATCCACCGCTTCAGTCCCGAGAGCCTGACCCTAAGGCAGAAGCTGCAGATTCAGAAGCACAATGGTTCCTGAATGAAGACAATAATCGGGTTCAGGGTCAGGGTTTAGGGTGCAGGGTGTAGGGTTTAGGGTTTAGGGTCAGGGTCAACTCCTTGTGCCATCGTCCCAGCACCGAAGCCCAAAGCCCCGCTCAACCCCCCCAAACCCCCCCTAGCCGCCCTGTCCCAAATGGTGAGCACTTCTAAAATGCTCAAACGCAAAATCCTCGACGTGCGATGCGAACACCAAAAACAAAACCGCCCTGGCCCGGAGCCCCCCTAGACCCCCCTTAGGCCAGGGGGCGACCAGGGCAGTAAAGCGCACGAAACAGCCTCGAAAAGCCGCCAGATTTTGGCCAAATCCCCTCCAGGACAGGCCCCGCCTAGGCCCTGAAAAATGCGAGCCGCGGAAACTGGCCAAAACCCAAAACTTTGTGCGCGCGTGCGCGCGCGCGCACGCCTGCGAGTGCGAACCCCCGCTCAACCCCCCCCAAACCCCCCCTAGCCGCCCTGTCCCAAATGGTGAGCCCTACTAAAATGCCCAAAAACCCAAAACTATCCGAGGTCGTGAGGACTCTCAGGGTCGAGCCATGCTTGCACCTGCGATGCTGATGCCTCCATGACCCAGCAACTACAGAGAGCCAAGAAGATTGCCGAAAGGAGTGCACGGTGTTCGCAAGACCTACTGGACACTATCCTAAAGAAGAAAGCGCTCCCAGACATGGGCTTAAAGGTTCAAGGTTTGGAGGGCTTTTGAGGATTGGTCTAAAGGTCTTAAGGTTCGGGTTCCCAGGGTTTTGGGGGGAAGTGCAGGTAGGTTGGCTTTCCCTCTTGACAGGCATGACAGGTATCCTTCTTATGCCCCTCGTGAGGGGGGGGGACCTTCACTCACCACCCTAGACCCTGAACCCTAAACCCTAAACCCTAAACCCCAAACCCTAAACCCTAAAACTTCTAAGCCATAATAAGCATCCGGGGCTGAAGGTGCCGATGACGAAACTCTCCAAACTCGGCCTTGCACTCTAAACGAGCGAACCTGCCCACCAGGAGATACCGCTGCACCTCCCACCGGGGATCGTCCCGACAGAGGCGGGTTAGCGAGCAGGGGTGGGGAGAGGTTGGGGGGATGGGCTGCAGGCTCCGTAAGCTTCAAACGCCTGGGTCCCCAGAATTTCAGTACACAACCTGGGATTGAGGGCGTGTCAGAGTCAAGTTGAGCATCATGGAAGAGTCAGCCACCGAAGCCCCTAAGCCGTAAGCCCTGAGCCTCTGGTCGTAGAGGAGGCTGACTGAAGGTGGGGTTCGGTCCAGCGCTGTCGGTTTGCGGTTTTAGGGCTTGGGGTTGAGACTTTGGGATTAAGGGTTTGGTTGCGGATTTGGGGTTTGGGGTTGATGACTTATTATTCGGGGTTTCTAGGATTCGGGATTTTTGGGGGTTTGCTGGCTGAAGGTGAGTTCTTTTGTGAGGTTTAAGGAGAGAGGTCTGCAGTCTAAAGGTCTTTTACACCAAAAATGCCACGTTAAATGTATGGCTGCAGGGTTTAGGATTTAGGGTTTAGGGTTTAGGGCAGGGCTCTAGCTGGGACTGTATCTGGGTTTAGGACCGAATGCAGTGGTAAGGATCATTCTCCGAAGAGTTCTGTCATCAAGGGACTAAAGGAGGGACCCTTAAAGGGACCCTTGGGGTTATATAGGGGCCTTAAAAGACTACATAAGGGGTATATCAGGGTTATATAGGGTATTTGGATTAGGGGTCCCTTCTAGGAGTCCCTCCTATTGTCCCTTAATGTCATCAACCTTCTGGACTGTTTGTAGAAAGCCGTCCAAGCCTCACATGAAACCCCCCTGAGACTCTGACTCCATGCAAAATTAGAGGCGAGGATTCATCCAGACCCACAGCCATTGAAGCTCGGCAGATGGCCAGAAAAGCCACCTACAGTCAGATGTTTGATCCATATCTCCGCTGGTCCTACCCCCAAACCCCGAACCATCAGCCCAAATCCACAAAGCCTACACCTCTTACACCCTGAACAACCTTAAACAATCGAGCCTTCACCCTAAAGCCCAACCCCTGTTTGGGAGTTTCCGAAAATAGGGGACCCTAATATAGTACCCTAAATAATAGGATCCTTATTATAAGGACCCCTAAATAAGGTACCCCTAACTTTCGGAAACCCCCAAATTGTTGTGCTACGCAAGGTGCCGAGCCCGACCTCACCAAGAGGGCGCGGTCCTTATGCTTGGCTGTGGGGTACGCCCGGAGACTCCAAAATCCTTACATAAAGGGTTCAGGGTTCTGTTACAGGTATCCTTTTCACGAAACCTTGAGTGTGAAGGGATTTAGGGGTCTCTTGGTGCTTGGTCGTCTTGAGTTTCGCAGGTCAAGGCGTTAGTTTTGGGGTTTAAAGGTCTTGAGGGTTTTGGGGTTTGCGTCCGTCGGGTTTGGGGGCAGGTTCTGGGTTTGGGGTAGCATCTGCTCTGAGTAGGGAAAACGGCTGGGCCTAAACCCAAAACCCTAAACCCTAAGTCCTAAACCCTCAACCCTAAACGCTCAACCCTAAACCCTAAACCCTAAACCTTAAACCGTAAGAAAAAGGAGGCATCGTGTCTCAACTTTTGGGGGGCCTGGAGTTATTCCACCAAAACCCAAAGCCAGGTCTAGAAGCGCTCCTGGCTTTGGGATGTTTCAATCTTTGAGGGCTTCAGGGTTTGGGATCTCAGGGTTCAGGGTTCGCGAGTTGAGGCTTGAGGCGTTTGGGGGATTCTAGAGTTTTAGGGTTTAGGTTTAGGGGGTTCCGGAGTGGGTTTTCAGAATTTGGGGTCATACGTGTGAAGCTTGTTCTGCCTGAGTCGCCTTGATTATGCGGGAGAAGCGTCCCTCCCAAAGGGACCTCTAAGTTTACGAAGCTCACATACTCCAGAGGTTGCAGGCTTTCCATGTGACAAGCCTCCCTCAGCTAAGACAGATGTTTGAAGACCTAGTATTATTAGACCCTAAACCCTCAACCGTAAACCCCTAAACCCTAAACCCCAAAGCCCAAAACCCTAAACCCCTACACCCTGAACCCTAAACCCCGAAACCTAAACCCTAAACCCCTAAACCCTAAATCATCCCCACCTATGTCCCCATACTGCAACCGACTGCCAGAGCCTTGCGGATGAAATAGGGCGTACCCAAACCCAAATGGGGTTTCGCAAGATGCGCTCGAAGCTTGTTGTAGCAACGAAGCCTAAACTCTAAAGCAGCATTCTCAAATAAGTCCGAAATTCCTGAAGCCACAAACTGCTGTCTTTTAGAGTTTGCGGTTTGGGCTTCTTGAGGAGCTCGAGGAACCGAAGCACAATTTCCGAAGACACACGACAGGTTTAAAGGTTGCAGGGATATGGCTCAAGAAATTAAAAGGTTTAGGGTTGAGGGTTTAGGGTTTAGGGGTTTTAGGTAAGGTCGAATAGATCGCCTTGGTTGACATTTTCAAAGTTCGCTGCTGATGATGCTTGGGTTGGACATGCTTCTTTGTGGGGTTGGCGTGAGTGATGCTGATGATGCTGGTTTTGCGTGTGTTTCTTTTGCGGGGGCGGGTGCAGGTGATGCTAAAGATGCCCGCTTTGGGTGTGCTTCTTGGCAAGGGCATTGCAGCTGATGCTCGGGTTTGAAGTGCTTCTTTGTGAGGGTTGGTGCGGCTGATGATGCTCGGTTGGATGCTTCTTTGTGAGGGTTGGTGCGGC